AGAATATATTAAAGCGTATTCATAATATAGTTGTACTAAAAGATACCAATTACTATTAAGTACATTTTCAAATATTTTTATTACCAATCAAATGATCAATTCTTTTTTCAAGATAAGAAAATTAACAATTGATATTTTTATTATCAATTATATAATCAATTCCATTTTTAAGGTGGATAAACATCTTAATATGCTATATCAAATTGGCCATAATTAAAATCATCATAAGATGTTTTAGTTTTCAATGATGCTTGATAAGATTCAAGACATACAATAAGTACTTGACCAATGGTAAATATGTTTTTTATATTATTTTTAATCTTTTTATTTTTGTTTATTCATTATTCATCCACCTCTGATAAGCTGAAAGTATTGTAGGTTATAAGTATTCATCCACTTTTGATGGGTTATCCACTTCTCGTGGATTAGTGAATTCAAGTATCCATCCACTTTTGCTGGTAAAATTATCCGTCCATCACTTCTAGTAGCAAAATTATCTATCCACGTCTGATGGTAAAATTATTTATCCATGTCTGGTGGCAAAACTATCTATCAACTTTTTGTGGTAAAATTATCCTTAATTAGAATAGTGATAGTGTAAATTATTATGACGACCTCTTTCATGTTCATGATCATAATTATTAAATGATGTGGCATTCATTTCAAGGAATAAATAGATTCATGATCATGACAATAATTATTAAATGATATCACATTCACTTCAGAGAATGGATGAATTTATAATTTTTTATTAGTAGCTTATTTGTCGCATTTACTTCAGGAAATGAATATTTATGATTTTTTATTAATAACTATATAATAGCAGATTCACTTTCCAATCAAGGAACAAAGTATAATATAACTGGAGAGATTAGAGAATTGTGCTGATAACATGTTATGAAATAAATTTTAAAAGAACAATTATAGAAAAATATAAACGAAAGTACTTAGAGGGAGTAATAAAATCTTATTTAAGTGTGTATTTACAAATAAAGTGAAAGAACTAGGCTAATAACTCCTTATTTAGATTGAATTTATAAGATAAAGATAATATTAAGGGAGTAGATGGATGGATTAAATTCTAATGTTTACCCAATCTAATTTACATCCAAATCTAGATATAAATAATATAAATGGATATTCACAAAAATATTCATAACATCCTTAAGATAAGAATATTCTTGGATAACGCTTTTAATTATTGATATATATTCAAAATTTTAAAAAAAATATTCTTGTCCTTAAAAACAAATATAATAATTAATGCATGCTACTAGGGATAGAAAATAATCAAGCTAAGTATCTTGATTGACAAAATAAATAAATAAATCACTTTACATAAATTTGTTGGGTAGACTTTCACTTTTAGAGACGCATATGGACTGTCAAATTCGATGACCACAAAAGAATATAGCATGAGCTTTTTCTGCCACTTTGCTTCCCTTTTGCAAGTCTTCACTTCCAAGTCTCGAGTAGAAGGTTTAAAAAGTTAAAATTCTCTCGAATTGAGTTCAAATGATAAAGATAAAGTGAAATTTGAAATGGGTGAATTTATGCTCTTCTTAACTTAGCACATACATTTATTATGTGGTGCTAGATGCATATAAGAAATGGTGAATAATTAATTTTTTTTTTAGGAACATATGGTGAATGAATATATATAATATTTAATTTTTCATGGATAATATATCACTGATTGAAGTTTTGATATGGTATGTAATTGAGGCTTTGCACAAAAATAGGTATATCTCACCAACAAAAGAAGAATCTTACCTTTCCCAATTCAATTAGAGTTTTTCCTGAAAGTCCATCGAAACATTTCCATGTCAGGCAAGGGAGAAAAAAATGAAATAAGATAAAACAAAGTGATCGCATTTATAACATCCAAACTTTTGAATTGGGTTAGGCCCCCATATGGCAGAATAAGGCAAAGAATATCATGATTTTGGACTATATATCTGCAACCAGACAATAAACGTGTGTCAATTTAAAATTGAATGTTCCGTTCAATGGTTACCAACTATGAGCTAATTAATTAGATGTTTTCTTTTAATCAAAGTTTACGAATTTAAGTAGAGCGTTTATTTGTTAGGTAAAGAACATAGCATTTTCAATTGGAAATAAATGATGATAAAGGTTTCACCATTGAAGGACCAATCACATTTTGTGCTTCAAAATTAACTTTTTGATTACAGCATATAAATGTATCAACTTAATTATCGATTTCGGTTTTTAATTTTAGTTTATTATTTAATACTTTTTCACTTAATTCATAGTATTAATGGTCAAATAGCTTTAATGAAAAGTATTTGTAACTATCTTATTCATATATATATCATGAACCTTACGAAATTTCATGATTTTAATCACATTGAAATTTATAATCTCAAGCATGGGTGACCTCCTAATCTTGGGCATGAATGTGGATACCAATTTACAAACAAAGATCTTTTTCCTTGTGAGTTAATAAATTTCCATTGCCTTGTAATAATATCTCACATGTTCGAGGGAGAGAAAAGGAAGTTGCAATTACAAATATTTCCACGTGACCAAAAGCGAAAACCATTTGGCTTGTGGGGACTATTTTGGAAAAGAAATGGGTGACGTACGCCTAATGGTATCATCTACTTATCTTTCTTCTACTCTCCTTTGCCATGTGGCCCAAGTAAAGCAATTTGATTTCTTTTCTTACTCTCTCCAATTTCAGAATTTCATTTCTAGCATGTGATCAATGTTATTTCATCACGTGATTATTTTTGAGGTCGATCTAAGAGTTGATGGCGGATGGTTTTGTGACGAGGTCCTAAACAGAGGCAAGCGCACCAAATATTTTGCAGCTCGCGTAAATATGGTTGCGCCACTCTTTTTAACACCCGGGCAATCGAAAACTTATTCTTCGTACAAACATAATTTCTCATGATACTTTCATATTTTTTACATTTATTATTATTCAAAAATAATAAAAAAAAACAACCTTTGAATTTAGATTGTTATACATGAAATAAATGAATTTATCATTATTAAATGGGACGTTTGGATTGCTACGGGTCATTTCGAAATTTATCTAAGTATTACAAACCCGAGTTATTTAAAATCAAGTCAGTTTTTATAAATTATTTAATTCCATAATAAAATCTTGCATAAATGAATTTACATGTATATGTATGTATATAAGTTGGTATTTTAACCTGAATGTCAAATCAAATAAAATAGGTATGGATGAACACTCAACCCAATTGTTAAAATTAGAAACATTTCCAAAAAAAAAATCAGATGACAAATTGATTACCAAACAGAAAAACACTCAAGAGATTAAAAAGGAAAAGAAATGCAAGATTGCATGAAAATTGTGGAAATGCTTCAAGTAGAAAATTTTGGCAGATATTTAAAAGAGAGAGAGAGAGGGAGAGCAAGCTCCGTGACCGTGAGGCTTTCACGTACGGTTGGGTGCACGAAGAAATCACATGGGAGAAAATGCTCCTGTCCCGTCCTGGAGTGGTGGGTCCCAATCTATCGCCGTTCGTTTATTTCATTTCTCACTCAATCCTCGAATCATGATCGTCCCGACCGAACAGAATGGTTTCCCAACCGTCAAAGTCTAGGGCTCCAGTCCGCCCCCCATCTTTCATTGTTAAAAACGTTGGATGAAGGAGGTATTAACAATGTTTTTCAATAATAATGGTTATTAATTTTTATCACATGTAATGTATATAAATTTTTAGTTTTTTATTTTTTTAAAAATAATAATTATATATAAGATATAAATATTTTAAAGTGTAAGTTTGAATGAATAATTAGAATTTTGTGACATTAAATACAATTAGAATTTTAATTTACAAATTGAATGTTTATAGTAAAAGTAGTTAAAATTATAATTTAAAAATATCTATTTTTATCAATCAAAAAATTTTCAAATATTCATTTATTTATATATACTATAGATAATTAATAACAATATACAATAATATCTATAATAACTATTATTTCTTATTTATTATCTAACATAGGAACTAAGTTACGAGGACTTTAGATATTGGACGTTTGACCTTTCGTTAGAAGAACGTCGAGATCCTGTGTTAAGTCAATTTAAGTTGTTTTCATAAAAGAATTTTTGAAATAAATGTATTATTAATTTTAAATTGGAAAAATATTTAAAGACATGTGAAAAATAATATAAAATCACTTGTAACATATTCAATTACAGGTGACTTGACCATAACGATTCCTTGTGGGGAAAAAGTATGTTAGGAAAGATGTCAAAATATTTGTCTGCAAAGCATATTCCAAAACTCCACCAGTCAAGGCTCGATAAGACTGCAAAATGTTTTCATTCTTTTTCTCAGTTTTAACATGGGAAAATGACGGACCATTATACACTAAGGAGGGCCAAAATATTCACAGCTAAAAAGCAACTTGTGCCAGTGTGGATGGTGAACTCAAAGGTGGGGGGCCGAATTAGATTAAGATGGGAGTTTAGAATAATTACAATAATAATCATGTGTAACGGTCGGGTTGGGGATTAAAATAACAAACACGTGTTGTTAAAACCATGATTTTGAAAGCAGTTGATTGATCTCTTCATTGTTCAAATAGAGTTTTCAGTTACCAAGTGTATATCCTATGCATTGCAGTGCTGCCCACCATTAACTAAATTTGGAATAGTAATTTTTTTTCAAGTAAAAAACAGGCACCCTTCGGCACAAATGGGAGAGTCAAAAGATTCGGAAAGGAGTTTGGTGAAGCCGAAAGCAAGCCCAAAGGATTACGTCTAGCTCTAAAGCTGGTTCGATGGTTCCAATTTCCCGAGCGTGATCACTACCTTGTCCATTCAATCCAAAGAGAATGAATCGTTTTGACAGAAACCAGCTTGTTCCAGTTGAAATTAGGGTCCCATGAAAGTTAGGGAGTTAGGCTGAAATTTGTTTGGTATAAATCATGCAACAATACCAGAGGCATAACGCTTTTTGTTATGCTGAGAAGGGAAACTGAAAATCCTTTTCTTCAACCTAACAAATCTTTACAAAGCTTTCAATTGTGGATGATACATACATTGAATAATGCAAAATCACATCTCCACCCGTTTTTAAGGTAAGAGAACATGTTTATAAAGCAAGAATTCCATCTGCAATTCGACCAACCAGATACCAGCCATGCCTAATTCATTTCAAAAGATGAGTAACATGCTTTGCAAGAACGTGCCATTGTTCATGCGGATGGCAAAAGATGACTGCGGGATCCAGAGTTGGGGGGAGGCTCTTAACATTTACGGAATAACATATCATCCGTCATCTTGATGCTTTCGGCAGGATAACTGCAAGGAATGGTCACATCACATCTTGATGAAGCTACTTACCGGCCAATATGAATGTAATTTGTTAAGTTTATGGCTCCTTGAGACAAATTTGCAAGGAGTTTCATGCTCCATCAACACTTCATTCTAATGGGGAAATAGTCAGCTAAAATGATGGCAGAAACATGCTATATTAGGACAAAGCATCTCATTTAAAAGGTGAATATAAATTAAGAAAAAAGAGAAAAGAAAACAGAGAGAATAGCTATTATTAGGTTGATTGTAAACGCCAGCCAAATAAGACAAACCATAAATTCCATCAATTAGGTTTAGAAAATCTTGAAGGCCGGTTTAATTTTGATGATAATACCCACTGCAGCTTCACAAGAGCCTCACCCAAAAATAGATTCAGGAAATGCATGCGAGTTTATATCATACCAATGCTAAATGCAAACATTTATTAATTCATATCAAGCTCCAAGGAAATGACATTGTGGAGCACTCTCCATTGCCTGCTTGAAATTACTCTAAATAGCTACTAAAACTCTGGAGAAACAGCAGAAACTATTGACTATGATGATAAACATTAACCTCAGCCATCTAAAAATGACTTCAAAATGTGTATTTCCTTATTGTGTGATGTCCTAGTCCTTGAAGATTTGATATGACTGCAAGCAGAAGTAGTCATCTATACTTCTCTAAATACAGAATGGAACTGGCAGAGATTTTCTGTCAACAAATTGGTAACACTTCTAACTATTCTCCTTTTCTCTCTGTTTAATTTATATATTTTGTTGTAGGTTAAAGAATTTATTCTCCTTTCCACTTTCTTTCAACCTCCATTCATGGGATTAGAGAAAATAAATTTCCTAAATATTTGCACATCTCTGAAAGACACAAAGTGCATGCCATCTAGATATGTACCAATTCAAACAATCCCTTTTAAAAGAACACTCAAATAATAATAAACTTCAAGGCAATGGGGGCAAAAATCACTTCAAGAAAGTGGCAAAACATGCCAGAAGCCAAGAACCCTATGAAACAATGCCAAAAAAAGGACAGTTGTTTAAAATTGAGAGTTGAGAATAGCAAGATATAAAATTTAGGCAATTAAGCTCTTCAAGAGCAAGATTTGGCCACCTCCTATAAATTGCCTTATGTGAACAACCAGTAGTACATGCTTCTTTTCTACAAAAGAGAAAAGAATCCATGACAGTTAACATATCACACTCATATACCACAGTCTAATAATAGATCATTATTTCTTCTTTTGATTGGCATGCAAGCCCAACATTACCTGTAACAAAACACAATGGTGGAGTAAAGTGAAAGAGAAAACTATGTCACCTTACATACACGGCCAAGAACAAAAGCTCACTCATGGCATTCAAGTCCATGGCCACTTAGCATCTCTCCATACAAACAATCGTTCCCCATGATTTCTCTCAGCCACAATTCCTGGAAAACTTCCTCCAACCTGCATGAATTCATCTTTCTTCTCTCCCACTGCTGGACAGCATTGCAGTTTTCTATCATGCTTCAAAGCTTCCTCCCTGTATGATGGGTTAGTGTACCTTGGGTGTTGTATGAATGGCACATTTTTCCACCATAGCTTTAGAGCCTGAAAAACATCGTAATTGGGAATGAACACCTTATAAATTCTAAAGCATCTAGCAAATATATTTTAGTCCAAGCTCCGGTAGAATGAGTTGACAGGGTGTACATTCCTAATGGCAACTGTAAAACGAATAGTCACTCAGGCTCTAGGACATATCCAGATAAAATGGAGACAAGTTGCATAAGTAATAAACCAATCTTAACATTATAAGCAACTTATTATTTAGCAGGGAAAATTAAACATTATGTTACAGCCTCCAAAATGCATATTATTTACCACTCAAGATGCCAGTTTAGAGAGCTTATACAGTGTTGGGTATTGCAACTTTTATGCCGATATATCAACTTGGCACTTAGATGAAACTGGGTATGACAGTGCAGCAGGGTTGCAACCCAGGAGAGAGGCCTGAGGCATTGAGATAAGGTGTAAACTTGACACTTTGTAGCTTAGTTGATATAAAAAACATCATACTCATAAGGTTTTAAAGAATTAAAGTTCAAACAAACAACTGTTTATGCTTGTGAGTAGTGAGTATGATCCTCTTTCCTAATTGAAAGGAGCAGCATTCTATCTTTATACCAATTGGTTTTTTTAATAAATAATCTGTCATTTTCTCAAATCACCCTAGCATTATGTTCAGTTCAGTAAACTTTCAAATGATACTCTAAAAGATTACAATCAACTTTTTCTGTTCCTGTCACTTTTTTTGCTATCAACAGTATAAAGCTAACACCGAGGTTTCAGACCAAAAGCAGGCAAACTGATATACTATTCCACTTAAATAATGTTTTCTTGAAAGAAAAAGGAATATGTAAAAATAAGAAATCAAACTACCCTGTAAAATTCGCTAGATTGATTTAAGGTATGAATAGGTCTCAAGGTAGATCCTACGAACAAAGGAAAATAAAAGCTCATAAAATGATGGTGTATAGGCTGAAATAACTTTTTCTATCTACATAATCGCCTGGAGCAGTAGAGAGTTAAGTAAGATAAGTCCATACTCAGATCAAGCACCCAACCCAGACCAAAGATCAGAACTTTTTAGTTCCACTTACATGCCAATATATCCACAAGGCAACCTTATGAGGCATCAACCAGAAAAATAGTGCATGATCATGCACCAATGCTGGGGAGATTCTTTTAGCTTTCAAGGTAGCCAGAAAATAGTCACCAAGCTCGGGATGTTGGACAGAAATTGCAACTAGTAAATTATCCCCAGGAGCATTTACTTTAACACTCCAATTCCCGCGCATATCCTGCACATTTTTTCAAAGATGCTAACTTGTTTTGGAGAAGACACTTTTCTCAATAAAACAAAGGTGAAACAAGCATTCCTAGAATGTTGCATGAAAAAATCAATGTCAAGATAAACCATAAGAGAAACCACGTCTTCTCAAATATCTAGAACATATAGATAAATTATTCACCATATCTATACATTCAAGCTGGAAATATAATTTCAAAGAGCAATTTGGCATCACTTATTCATAAATCCAAAATTGAAAATCACCGAAATACTACTATCAATCATTATGAGATGTAAACCTTAGCAAACTCTATTTTAGTAGATCTACGTATACCCCATCCTGGTCCTAATCCATGCAGTTCTAGCACATGAATTTTTTTTTCTCTTTATTCAGTCAGAAGATAATGAGCTGCTCCTGGACGTATCTGCATTTTTATAATACTAACAAACTCTTAAGTACACATGATAAGAACACCCATGCTTAATTGTCTTTTTCCACCAAGCTTAAGCTTGAATTCAGCTTGTACATGGTAAATTGTCAAGTGGAGCACAAACAACACTATTGTTTGGGTTGTTGCCTCATTTGCATTCATAAATCTCCATCCCCCATACCCACAAACGGAGCAAACTTCCAAATGACATGTGAAAAGATAGTGTCAACTTGTGAAATTGATGAAGCTAAGGATGATTAATTTATAAAAATGAAGCATTTAGATGGGCACTTACCATAAAAGGGCTCACATGCAGTGGTTTGGCCACTAAATCAGAATTTGGGTCGAAGACAAACCTAACTCTTTCGCCCCACGGTGTATTTGTTACCTAAAGCAATAAATCAACAGCAATGTCAGCAAACACCCTAGTCGAATACAGCTAAGCATACAAAAATACAACTTTTTTTTTATCCCTAAGTATACAATATAACTTCTAGTCCTATTTTGATGAGTTCTATTACCAAGTTAGATCAGCTACTTTCTTTTTAAAGGTTTACAAAATTTTCCAATTAGGTGCAAATTCAACGCAGAAAATACAGACCTCAGCAATGCACTTCTTCAAAAGCTTAGTGGATCCCTCCAAATCATAGCAATAATATAAACTCAACGGATTTTGTTCATATCCCACGCTTGGAGGAATTGTTAGTAGAAAACTGTCACAGTATTAATTCATTTCATAATTTTTTTTCAAACATTAAGATAAACAAGATAAAAGAAAAAAGAAAAAAGGGAAAGAAAATTCAGTAACTCACACTAGGCCGGTGGTTTCGGCAATCCTACGAGCCTCGTTGGCGGAAAGGTGGTCAGGTGGCGCGTTGGGAGCGTGATCGAGGTCGAAGAGAGCGTAGCGGACAGAGTACCGGAAAGAGTGGCGGACGGGGCGGCGACGCTCGTGCCATACGGTGCCCTCGTAAAGAGAAACGTGTTCATTTTCGGTTGTGGAGGGCGGAGGCGGGCGGCGCTGGCGCGGGAGTAGGAAGCGGAAGGGGAGGAGGAGGGAGAAAGCGAGGGAAGTGAAAAAGGTTGATAGGATTGACCAAAAGAGATAGAACATTTCCATTTTCGCGTTATGTGGCAATTGGTGGTTGGAGGTGTACTTTTGTTTCGGATTGCATGATTGACGCCATGTCAGCGGCTGATTTTTTATATATATTAATGCAAACCAATCCAAAGAATTTTCCATAAAAATTTTCTAATGAATTTTATTATTTATAACCGAAATTATTATATAATAAACTGTATGGAATTCTTTAAGATTAAGTGAATTATTATAAAACAGATATTTCACTCTAAAATATATTTTTTGTTAGACACTTAAAAACATGATAAAAATAAAAAATAATTTTACTTTTAATTAATTTTAAAATTATTATTATATAATTTTATTTATTTTATTAATTAAAAAAAACATCCCAGAATGGGAGCACTTGAGGAGCTCGATTTGAGGCTCCTTAAGAGAGCACCAATTGAGCGCTCCCCTCCTGGTGGGTGCTCTCCTTTCTTGGAGAGCATCGATCAATGTTTTTTTTTTTAAAAAAAATTAAATTAATAAAAAAGTTTTTAATTTCTATTTACAGTGTTTGTATTTTTTAGATGAAATGTTTATTTTTAAAATTAATTGATTCATTTAAAATTTTGATTAAAACTTAAAAAGTTGAGATATTTTACCTCAAATTTGAATTAATATGTCCAATTTAATTATTTATTTTTATTTTTTAAAAAAGTTTGGATTAATGTCATTTTAGGCTTTGAACTTAATTTGCTCAATGGACTTAAAATACAATTTGATAATTGGGTCAAAAGCCCAACTCATTAATCTCAAGGGTTAATAGTTAACAGGCAATTTGGGCCTTGGACTAACAAGCCCATGTTGAAAAATACACTGACAGAAAATAAATAAAATAAAATAAATAAATAATACAAATCATGCCCTGAGTTCAAAATCAGTGCACCTGTCAAAGGCGTAATCTTTTAGAAAGTCAAATGCCAATATTGTTGGAAGTTTTGACAAAATGCGCAACATGGCGGGAGAAAAATATTTTACCACAAAATATTGAAATTTTATTAAACTATGGTAATTGAATGTATTAAAGAGTATTTGTATAAGTTCAAATTTTATTTTTTTGAATAAGAGATTATGTATTAATTAATAAATTAAATACTTGAATATTAATATTTTATTACTTTAATAAAAAATATATATCAAATCAGATGCATTAAGGTTAGAGTTTAAGAAATTTTGAAAGATCTTACATTATCAACCCAATGTTATAGGGAATCTTTGCATCTATTGACATAGTTCAATAAACTAAATCATCTAAATTCTTATTTGTTATTGTTTTAAAAAAATAAAAGCTAAAAGAAATATAATATAAATCTCTTAAATTAGAACATGAATTGCTCTTCATGACAAAAGAATTTTACCAAACAAAAACCAAGTTATTTTTCTAATAAAAGAAAAAGGAAAAGAGGAGAAGGAGAATGAATCAATCATGGATCTTTGTACTTGGAAATTGTGAGCTCAGGAGCACCAGATGACTGCCCCACTAGAATCTAATTTCAACCATATTCACGAGCCGCTGGTTAGGGTTGTTAGTTGGTCTTAGGACTTGGTGGGTCACCAAACGATACACGTCATACACAAACCAGGAAACCCCCACGCTCCGTTATCTTACACCCCCAATTTCATCGAATCGAATCTCCCCACGTTTCATAAAGAGGGTAATTTCGTAATCCAACTTCCATTTTCTACCCGCGTGTCCGTGACCCATTCGAACATATTGAAACGTCACCGTTGAGCATTAATATTGAAGCAGCTAGTCGTCGGTGAAAACGAAGCCCTTTCAACGTGTGGTGGCTCCCTCTCTTGGCACTTGAAATAAATCGCCCAACGTAAACTAGAAAAATAAAAATTAATAAAAGACCCTCAAATTCTCCGCCCATTTCGATTTCCTCTTCACGTATAAATTTCCACTCTTCCCCTTCTCCAATCTCCCTCTTGAATCCATTTCCATTCCCTTTTCTTTGAAATTAAATTTAATTTTTCATTATCATTTTTTTTTTCGCGGGTGCAAATCCAATGGCCGCGATCTTCCAAGGAGTTGGAGCTGCTGCAGCTTTATCTTCGACACCGTCCAATTCTTTCAATTCCAAGAAATTGCTTTTCTCTCCTCGTAGATCCTTCTCCGGTTCGCTGCACTCAATTTTTTCTTCGATTTTCTTTTGGTTTCGTTTCTTTCTTTTTTAGTTAATTTTCTTTTTGAAATTTGATTTGATGCAGTGAGGAAAGGGGCGAGCGTTGTTGTGGTCAGATCTGATGGAAACGTGAACTTGGATTTGAACCCGAGAGGTCGAAGGGCTCAGCAATTGATTGCCAATGCAGTTGCAGTAATGATTCTCCTTTTTCTCTCTCTTTTTACATTTTGAATTTTTTTTATTTTGTGTTGTTACTAAATTTGATTATATTTTGTTAATGTTTTAGACCAAGGCTGACAGCTCTGCAGCTTCTTCATCTTCAAAACCTGGGTATGATTCTAATTTCGATTTAAAGCTAACTTTCGAATTAGTGTTACATTGTAGTCAGGTGCTCAATTTTGTCTTTAACGATATGATTTTTATGAAAGTAAAAGGCAAGTGGTTAAAATGACAACTAAATTGTGTTTTAGTGTCTGATGGCGATATGAATTATGTTGATTTTAGTACTACATTATTAGCATTGGTTGGCAAATGCTGTTAAAAACTTCGCTACCTAATGCCATTCCTTGAAGATAACGTCAAAATCTTTTATTTTTTGTTTTGTTGTTGTTTTTTTTTTAGATTTTTATGTATTTTGGTTTTCTAATCAGATTTATCCATTGGCATATTTGACTCAAATGCTGCTTTTTTATTATGTTTAATCACATAATTCTCACATGTATCCTATTCTTCAGACTTTTTAAATACTAGTCTGAGAGATACCATTGATACCATAGTTTCTAGCACGTGCGAGGAATGTGTGTGCTTAGATAATTTCCTGTTTGAGATGCATGCTTAACAAAGTCTTTAACCTCATGTTGTGGTGTAAGGTTTGTGCATTTGATACCATTCACCTCTTTTTGAAATCAATGCTGTCTTTCATAAGTGAACTATTTGTTGGTATCGCTATGTTGTTGTTTGCTTACTCCTTTTCATTGATGCCTTTGTTTTGACAAGCATTGTTCTTTGCTGTTGTAATCCTGCAAGTTTTAGTGCACTTACTGAGCTATCTCAGACCAGTTTTCCTTTTATTCTCGTCAACTAAGATGCCAAATGTGCGTTGTTTACAAAATATATTTCTTGATCCATGTCTCCTTTACCATTTAGTTACTTCTACATTATTTTCCAAACATGTAATTTTTTCTTGTTATCAAGTAACACTAACAAGATTGCATATACTTTAAATGGTTTCAAATGAAATTCAAATAAAATTCATTTCTAAAGGAAAGCCTCATTGCTTATTTCCACTGACGATAAGGAAGCGTTTCTCTTTTAGTTAGTAGCGAAGTTTTTGGTTATAACCTTATAGGAAAGGGCTGTGTGTTTGGTTTTATATGTGTCAAAATGCGAGTGAAAAGGGCATCAGTTGAGTGTTGGATGTATGTATGTGTTGGTGTATAATGTCTCTGTTTTTGTGTGTTGCAATGGCATAATATTGCATCATCAAATTTCTGCATTCATACTTGTTTGCATTGTCATGTCTTTTGTTTTTTCTATTTTCTTTTGGGAAAAATGTTAGCACTATCGTGTCAGTATCACTTAGCAGTGATGAATTTAACTAGATCTATATTTTATCCCCAGACATGAGCTTTTACTCTTTGAAGCTCTACGAGAGGGCTTGGAAGAAGAAATGGAGAGGGATCCCTGTGTATGTGTCATGGGTGAAGATGTGGGTCACTATGGAGGCTCATACAAGGTGACCAAAGGACTGGCTACGAAGTTTGGGGACCTTAGGGTGCTTGACACCCCTATTGCTGAGAACTCGTTCACTGGCATGGGAATTGGAGCTGCTATGACTGGTCTGAGACCAGTTGTTGAGGGTATGAACATGGGATTTCTCCTTCTTGCTTTTAATCAGATCTCCAATAACTGTGGTATGCTCCATTATACATCTGGTGGTCAGTTTACCATACCCATAGTTATTCGTGGACCTGGTGGTGTTGGACGTCAGCTGGGAGCTGAGCACTCTCAACGCCTTGAGTCATATTTTCAATCAATTCCTGGAATCCAAATGGTTGCGTGCTCAACCCCTTACAATGCCAAGGGCTTAATGAAGGCTGCGATCAGAAGCGAGAACCCTGTTATACTTTTTGAGCATGTTTTGCTTTACAACCTCAAGGAGAGAATCCCAGATGAAGATTATATCTGTAATCTTGAGGAAGCTGAGATGGTAAGGCCTGGAGAACATGTCACTATTCTAACCTATTCACGGATGAGGTATCATGTGATGCAGGCTGCAAAAACTTTGGTGAACAAGGGTTATGATCCTGAAGTAATTGATATTAGGTCTTTGAAACCATTCGATCTTTACACTATTGGGAACTCAGTCAAGAAGACACATCGTGTTCTTATTGTGGAGGAGTGCATGCGGACTGGTGGTATTGGTGCTAGCTTGACTGCTGCCATCAATGAGAATTTCCTTGATTATTTGGATGCTCCAATTATGTGCTTATCTTCACAGGATGTGCCTACACCATACGCCGGAACATTGGAGGAATGGACGGTAGTTCAGCCTGCCCAGATTGTGACAGCCGTTGAGCAGCTCTGCCAGTAGTTGCAATAGCAGAAATAGTGACCGCATAGTTGAAGTTTTGCTAGTCTTGTCATGTTTATTCCTAAACAAGTTCTCTTGCAGCATTGTTTTTGAAATCTAATTTCTGTTTGTTAGCAATTTGTGTCAGTTAAATCTTGCAAAAGTTCATCGAGTTGAGGCCTTCTGTTTGATCCAGTTCTTTCTTCACTGAAATGGCAAGTAAGATCTTGTTTAAGCAATAGTTACAGGTAGAGTACTGGAGAATAACTCTCCACTTCCAGTTGCTCTGTCACATTACTAATGAGATAAAGCCATGTAATTCATTTTGTCTATTTTTTCCCTATGGAATGTGGTGTGGCAAAATAATCTCAGTTATTTATATCTTTT